TTGTATAATATGTCGTTTGTATATCTGGAGTGTTGTAACGAAAATAATTTCCCCCTGGGATTATTAAAGTATTTCTGATTCTGATTCTGAATCTGAAAATATCGGCAGGTTGACATCTTCAGACTGCATATTAGCAGGCTGATAATATATAGTACACATTTCTACACCCACAGACACAGACAAGGGTACTGTCAGACAGATGCTTCGGCTGATCAATACAAGACTTATTCACACAATTCTCCAGTCTGCAGCCGAACAAAAGCTCCATTCTGATGGAAATCTAATGTAAACGTCCCAACAGGAGACACCAACCCTCCAGTTACACAACAATACAGCGCTCAAAATCTGTTCTCTCTGCCTCTGTGCTCATTCATATGTTAATCCAATATCCTGGCCATATCAAATCGCTGTCAGTAGGAATGTTGACATCAGCACTAAGCAGCAGGCAAGTCCTGAAACTGAGGGGGCTGGGGGGGACCGTGGGGGGTTCAGTATGAACTCTTTGTGAGGAATCGGTGCACATAAATGAAATCAGACAGACAACTTTTAATGAGGCAAAGACAATGGCCTCAAGACAATGTGCAGTGGGCTGGGGTTGGGGGTAGTGATGTGGTGTGGCGAGGTGCTGCGAGATGGCGGGGTCGGAAATGATGACAAGAAGGTCATGGAATACATGCAAAGGATCTATAGGTGCTGTATGGCAGCTACATGTGGTTTTATTATGTGGGTTTTTTCAGTTTTAGACAAAGAACCTTCTACATTTAGAGTAAGTCAAGGGTGATGTTTGGAGCTAATATTCTTGCTCACTTGCTAACAATGACATTTAGGTCAGAAAATGTCCCTTTTAGTTTTACTGCCACACAGCCCCCAACAGGGATTATGTCATTGTTTTCAAAAAGTACTGTTCACAGTAAAATGTGAAGCTAGCATTTTTAAATGTACAAACTCTGTTGTAATATTGTATAATAATTAGTATTTCTATTCTTTAACATTGTGTGAACACCCTGAGCAACTGTAACAAACAAATTTTCCCCGGGAATCAATAAAGCTTTTCTAAATCTGATTCTGATTCTGAAATCAAATCACAACACAGAAAACAAAGTCAAGCGGTGCGTTGCGTTTCGGTGTTGTCCAGCATGTAACATGCCTGACTGTAAGTTGAGCAGCAAAAAATGGGAGCAAGGGTTGAGACAAGCTATCTTTTTCTAGTGAAAAAGGGATGTTTCGGTAATGATATTTGTGTGGGGTTTGAATTGGTGTCGCAGATGTGTGGGGAGGGAGACAGAGTGGAGCTGTCAGTGGTGAGGCAGAAGTTGTGTGTGGTTTGGGTGAGGGATTTGGAACCAATGATGATCATATCAGATCTGACACAGTTTGAGGAAAATTTAATTTCGGTGAGACAGTTTGTAGAGTTGGACATGATTAGTGTAGCAGCGGAAGTGGAGACCATGACAATGGATACAGAGAGGAAGCATGTAGAAGAGGAAGCATGTAGAGGATGAACAGGAGAGGACCCAGCATTGAACCCTGGGGGATGCCTTGGGAAAACTATGTTATGATATGACTTCAGCCAGGAGAGGGCAGTACAGTTGATGTTGCGGGAGAGAAGAATGGTGTCCAAGAGTCAAATTGTGTGTGTGTGTGTGTGTGTGTGTGTGCTGTGAAGTGAGCATTTGGATAATTAGTCTATTTATACACATTAAACAACCTGGAAAAAGGCACCAACTACTAGTGTATTTGGCAGGATGGACACACAAACACACCCAAAACACACACACAAACTGAGTGAGTGTGACAGTGAATGGAGGAGTGTCTCATACAGAGTGTGAGGGAACAGGGATCATGAGACAAACAGAGAGCAGAGACCTGGAGGATGGCAAGGCTTAAAATATACTCTGTCCACATTTGGAGGTTTCAAACAAGTGCTCTTTCTCACACATACAAAGACTGCATTGAAGGACTCCACAACAGCAGAGTGCTACTGCATCTTGTTTAAAAAAACACTATGTAGTATAATTTTAACTTCATGTCAGCTATTTGTGGATTATATTTCCTCCAATAATTCCCCCAACACATTTCGTAAACATTTGCTGATTCTTTGTTGTATGACAACACTCTCTGATGTTGTCATAGCAACCAGTTATAGTGGGGAAAAAAATAAGTTAATGGTGACTGATCAAATTAAAATTTTACTTCTTCACGACACATGCTGAATCAAAGTCAACTATAATGCAAAGGGCAGCATCACAAGTCATAGGAGCTTAATTTAATATTTGGGAGGTTTCAGTTAGGAAAAAACATCTATTTTGGTTGGTTATTACATAATGCAGCACATTATTACATTTTCATGATAAAAAAAGTGCAATGCCCACCTCAATATGTAAATCACACAAAAAGTGATGAAATGTATTACATAGGCATTCATGCTGCCTATCATTTAACCAAACCAAAGTCATAAATCAAACTTGACATGATGTCAATAAAGCAGACGGCAGTCGGTCTGATAGTATTCTGTTATGGTAGTTTTCTACTTTTACCACCATCATCAGTGCTTTCTCTTAAATAATAAAGCACCAGCAGGATTTAAAATTCTATGAAAATTTTAAGACATTCAAATCACAGTGAGAATATTCTTACACGTGGCTGTTTCTTTACAGACAACCTGACCCATTACCCCAACTGACATATGGCCCACAGGACATTGAGATGTGTGTGTGTGGCAGGTATAACGGTCTAACGCACATGTTGTCTATCGCAGCTTTGATCCCAACTCCCCCGAGGCAGCCGTCTCATTAACCAGACAGCCTCATTGACCTAAAGCCCCACATAACGAGCTTGGCCCCACTCCAGCTGTGTGTGTGTGTGTGCACGTGCATCTATACGTACAGGGGATTCAGAAAGTATTGCTTTTCACACAATTGTATATAATATACATAATATAACAAGCAAAACAGTAGCAAAACTGTATAGTGAGGATGCTTTTGTCACATAAATAGTTTTGTTTTTCATTAATTAATGACAGTGTGTGGAGAAAAAAAAAAAAAAAATCAGGGTTGCATTCTAATAGTTTGGTTTTTTTTGCTCACAAAGGTTCCTAACTGAGTGAAATGACCAGGAAAATTTTAAGTAAGATAGGATACACTGGGCTATCAAAGGAAAGCAGATACGCCGTCCCACAATTCCTTGGGGCAACGACATTTAAAACGACGCACCATTCTAGTTCCACCTCAGACCCATGTTAATGCAGAAACAACAGAGCACCTGTTTTATGCTATGATTTATTCTATTTCAAATCTATCAATTAGGAGTCATCTTAAGAACAAGTATAGTGAATGACTACAGAACAAAATAAGAAATCATACCAAAATACTATATACATACATGTTGTATTGTTAAATCACCCCATTGTGTAATGCACTAAAAGATACTTAAAAAAAATTATAAAAAATGCACCTATGCCAAGAAACTCTGGCCCCTTGTTCAATTCCTTATTATATTATTTTAATGGCCTAACTTTCTCTGCTTGTATATATATATATTTATTTTTTGTTGGCCTTTAATTGGCTTTATTGGACAGTGCCAGCTGTAGACAGACAGGAAAGGTGGGTAGAGAGAGAGGGGATGACACGCAGCAAAGGGCCACAGGTCGGATTCGAACCCAGGCCACTGCAGCAAGTCCGTACATGGGTCTCCAGCTCTACCGACTGAGCAAGGTCAAGGAAAAGTGCTTAGAAAAGGACATAGGACATAGGATATTTTTGACTGTTTCACTGCAATCTAAATCTAATCAGTATCAATTGTCTTAGATACACTTGCAGTTCTTATGCTTTTAAGATACACAGCAGGTAGCTTGTTCCAAGCATCTCGGAGGACTTCCACAGTGAATTTAGGCTGCCTGGATGATGTTGAGATCAAGTCTCTGTGGGATCCATACCATCTGTTCCTTTTTTCACTGGGGATAGTTCCTTATGACTCAGGCTGTATGTCTGGGCTAGTCATGCTGCAGAATGAATTTGAGACGGATCAGATGCCTATTGCATGATGGATATCAGTCTGTTTGTACTTCTCAGCACTGAGGAAATGCAGCCCCAAACCTGCACGGAACCTGCATGCTTTACTTTTGCATGTAGAAACTCACTCTTGTAGCACTTTTCAGCTCTTCAGCGAACAAACTGCGTTCTGTTAGAGCCAAATATTTCAGGGAATATTTCTAACTCATCAGTCCAGCTGACATTTTTCTGAAACCCAGTTCTTGTGTTTTCGTGTAAAGGTGAGTGGTTTGGGTTTGTTCCCACATCAGAGGAATGGCTTTTGGGCTTGAAGTCTTCCATTTTTGAAAAGAATCTTCTGATATAGATGGGTGTACCATGGTCTCACTGGTTTTGGCCATTTCTGAGCTGATGGTGCTGCTGTACCTCTTTCCATTGTGAAGGGAAGTTAGCTTGATGTGTCTTTCATCTGCTGAACTCAGCTATCTTAGCTGACCGCTGCTCTTTTGGTCCTCAACCTTGTTCGGTTCTTCTGCAGAAGAGCTTGGACAGCACATGTGGAAAGTTGGAAACATCTGTCTGCCACACAATTTCTGCCACTCAGAGACCTTGCTGATGCAGGATGACCACCTTTTGTCTGGTTGCTAGGCCCACTCTTGCCATGGTGTAAGAATTTTTAGTTTTCGTCTTCAGCAAACTCACTTTTTTAGTATGGCTCTTCCTCACCCAGTTTCTGTTAATGGTTTTGGTCAACCTACATTATGTATGTTGTTGATCATTAGCACCTGTTTGGTGGTATAGTTGTTTAATCATGCATTGGGCAATATTCCTACAAACTAAGTGTTTTATTTGTATATGCATATAAAAGATATAAAATAATCACCTCCCAGTGGCTGAAGACCAGCTGTGGACTGGCCAATCCGCTGGTCCTCTTGCGGATCTCGTCAGCAAATCCGAAGCTCTCGGCCACGGGCAGAACAGCCTTGATAATGAACATGTCTGTACCTTCCTTCATTTCTTCATGGAGGACACGACCCTCTCGCTTCCCCAGTACGCCGTATACTCGGCCTGGTGCAAGAAGAGACACAGGGTCAGGACACACCCATTATACACAGCAGAACACATGATCAGATTCCCTGGAAGAGCAGGTGAGGACATGTTAACAAACTGGACTAAGGTTCGAACTATATCCCGACCAATTCTGATTCGATAATGATACAAGTTTGCGAATAGGGAGACTATAGTTCACACTGTAGGCCAAACAGACACAAATAACTTGTACTCAGATCAGATTTTTTTCCCATGACAGTATGAACAGCACAAATCACATGGAATCTGATCTTTTCAATATGACATATGAAAGTGGACCAAAGAGAAGTGGTCACTCTAAATCAACATTCATCATGTGGGTCACTTCAGGACCGTGACCTGTTCATACTGGAATCTGATATGGGCCACATTTAAAAAGTTATGTGAACAGATAAACAGATCTTAGCAACAAATCAGAATAGAGTGCTAAGGGTTGCAGTAGCCTAAAGTTAACACACTGATTCTCACTTGAGGACGCAGTGTGCAGGATTTAGTGGCATCTAATGGTGTAGTTGCACACTGCAACCAACTCGCCTCACCCTCCTGTTGCGAGTGTGAAGAAGAAACTATGGTAGCCCTATCTAGAGCTATTGTTTGGTTTGTCCGCTCTGGGCTACTGTAGAAACATGGTGGTCTCTGCTCCCTTGTCTCATTTTAAGGTAACGAAAACACAACATTACCTATATTCAGGTAATGAAAACATACCTATGAATATTATATTCCATTTGTGACA